ATAGATAGATAGATAGATAGATAGATAGATAGATAGATAGATAGATAAGCTAGATAAGATAAAATAAGATAGACAGACTTCAGTAAAAAAGAAGAATTTGAATCTTTCCTTCAAAAGAACCCAGTGGTAAGTAGAGTATTTGACTTGCAAACTACACAAATAACATTAAGTTAAATACTTTCAGACAGTAATGAAAGATTAGGAAACGAAATGTTTCTTTTTATGTACTATCACTAGAGAACAACACAAATGTTGAGTGGGAGGTATTTTTGTTTGTTATTTGATTTTCTTTTCTTTTTTTTAATATCTTATATTGAGCTACAGTGAGAAGGCAAAAATCTAAAGAATCAGGCAAATGGTATAATCAGAAAAATCAAAAGAATAGCAGATAGAGGAAGTGGATTGTTTCAGGAGGAAAAATCTCATCTTCTCATTGGTACATCAGTATTATAGGTAGCAGGAAAATGTAGAGGCATTAACAACTATAATAATTTGTTAAATAGAAGAAAATATTTTTTACAGTTTTTATTTTCATTTTTCAAGATAAAATCCCAATCAAAAGTCTTTCCTCACTACTTACTATGAATGTTGATCCCTCTTTTAAGCAGATTCACTTAGAAGAAAATTCCCATATACACTAAAAATTTGCATTTTTTTGTGCTGGCAAAAAAACTGGAAACAAAGTAGGAATGGTTAAACAGACTGGTAGATGAATGTAATGGAATATTACTTTGTTGTAAGAAATGATGAATATGATGAAAACAGAGAAGTGTGTAAAGACATATATGATCTTGTAATCTTTGGCTCCAAGGCCCAATTGTATGGAATCCTCTCCTCACTGGGGACATCTAATCCCTTGACCTCTCAATTCTCTCTCAGGCCATCTGCCTTGCACTTGTCACCCTCCTTATCAATTCACTATCTTAATCTCCACAAAAGCTCTTCCAAACCTTTTCATCCCTCCTTAAATTTCTCATGAATCCCCCTTCCCCCACACTCAACTGAGAACCTTGCCTCATATTTTACAAAAAAAAAAAAAAAAAATTAAGGACTTTCACCATGAGCTCCCTCTTATTCCTGCTTATTCATTTCCTTTCACTCAGATGCCTTCTGCCACCATATCCTCCTTCATCCCTGTGTCACCCATGGAAGCCTTACTCCTTACCAAGCTTATCCCTTTTACCTACATAAATGATCCTATTCCATCTCATCTCCTCCAACAAAACACCCCCTCTGTCATTCTTATCTATTACTCATTTTTAATCACCCCCTGTCTACTACTAGCTGCTTCCTACTGCATACAACATGCCCATTTCTCCCCCATCCTGAAAAAAACCCTCACTTGATCACTCCATCTCTGCTAATTATCATCTGCTAATTATCTTGTGCCCTTTGTGATTTTAAACTCTTTGAAAAGGCCATCTACAAGAGGTGCTTCTACTTTCTCTCATTTCACTCTTCTTAACTCCTAACAATTCAGCTTCTGACCTCATCATTCCACCAAAACTGCTTCCTCCAAAGGTACCAATAATCTCTTAATTGACAAATCCAATGACCTCTTCTCAATTCTCATTCTCTTCAACCTCTCTGCAACCTCTCTACTGATCATCCTCATCCACTCGATACACTTTTGTCTCTAGGTTTTTGGGACACCACTCTCGGTTCTCCTCTTACCTATCAAAATGCTCCTTTTCCTTTGCTGGATCCTTATTCTGATCACATTCTCTAACTGTAGGTGTCCCACAGTTTTTGTCTTGAACCCTCTTCTCTTCTCCGGCTATACTACGTCACTTGGTGATTTCACCAGCTCCCATACGTTTAATTAACTATGCTAACCATTCTCAAATATACCTATCCTGACCCAGACTCTCTGCTGACTTTCAATCTCCTTTCTCCAACTGCTTTTCAGTTACCTTGAACTGCATGTAAACATCTTACCTCGCACACAACTTGAATTCAACATATCTAAAACAATCTAAAACAGAACTCATTATCTTTCCTCCTAAACCCTCCCCCTCCCTCCTGTATCCCCTATTACTGCCATAGGCAGCTCCATTCTCTCAGTCCCTCAGGCTCAAAACCTAGGTATCATCCTTGACTCCTTACTATTCCTTACCTCTCATAACCAATCTGTTGCCAAGGCCCACTGATTTCACCTTTGCAATATCTCTTAAATATGCCCTTTTTCTTCTCTGACATTGCCAATATTCTAGTGCAGGCCCACATCACCACATGCCTAAACTACTGCATTAGCCTGTTGGTGGCTCTCCTTGCATCTCCTCTTTCTCCACTCCAGTCCATCCTCCATTCAGCCACCTAAGAGATTTTCATAAAGCACAGGTCCAAACATGTCACCTCCTTGCCTCTGTTTGGTGTTCAAATCCCTTTATAACCTAGCCCCTTCCTACTTATCCAATCATCTTATATCTTACTCTCTGACATATATTCTTTAATCCAGTGACACTGGCCTCCTTTGTGTTCCACATATAAGACAATCCATCTCTTGGCCTGAGACATTTTCTTCAGCTGTCCTCCTTGCCTGGAATGCTCTCCGTACTCATACCTGCCTCTTAGCTTCCTTTAAGTCCCAACTAAAATCTCACCTTTAACATCAAGCCTTTCCCAACCCCTTTAACCATTTCCTATTTATCTGTAGGAGCATATGGGGGGTGTTCAGGGAGGACGAGCACCTCTGGTGTGAGGGCTTGCTGAGCCCTTTTAGAGGTGGCTCATCCACCTTTGGTGTCCAACTGCCACCCAACTCTCACCTGTGGTTCCAAGAAGCTATAGCATATGCAGTAGCCACACCCTGGTAAAACTGTCTAGGCACACAGGCTAAACCAGGTTGAGGATAACCAATAGGCCTCAAACCCATGGGTGAATTAGGGGGGTGTCTACCCTAAGCATGTGAAG